TAAAAAAAAAAAAAAAAAAAAAACAGAAAGAAACTGCAGATCCTCAAAACTCCTGCTCAGCTGTAAGGCCCCAAATTCCTGCTCCCGAAACATGCAGGCCCAAGGATGCTGTAATGTGGCTGGTACATAATCTCGAGGAGCTTTCAGACCAGCTGGTCCTTCCTTGATTTCTCTGAGGGCCTGATTCAGCAATGCACACCCAACAGGCAGGTATACACACCAGCAGCTCCCCTTTGCGGTCCTGGGTCTAGCACTTTGATTGCTTACCTGGGCTCTGGAGGAGCAGCACCAAACACGTTGCTGGAAGAGGAGGGTCCATCCACGTCTCTTCCAGACATTTCCAACCGGCAAGATGAGACACCTCTGTGCAGCAAACACAGTTCCCGGCTGCCTCCCTCCTGCACCCGCTCTGTGGCCAAGCAAGGGGCAAGGATGGGGCATTGCAGCTGTAATGTTCCTGGACATCATGGACAGGTGCCCATCACCCACCTCCCCACCGCAGCACCTCCTCACATATCTGCTACTACTCCCTCCCCCTCTTTTTTTTTTTTTTCTTTTGGTAATATCCTGGGTTAGGTGGAGTTATTCCTCACTTTCTGATTGGGAAGGAACCACAAGCATGGGGCAGCAATAGTCAGCAGGGACATGCGGGTAAATAACTTGGCAAGCTAAGGGGCAACCTCTGAGTCCACATGCAGCTGTAACCGTAGCCTCCACTCTGAATTCAGCCCTGGTTTGGCGAAGGCCTGGACGTGACTCCCTGCAACTTGAATAACAAGAGATCATGCTCTCTGTAAAGAGGAGAACCTGATATGTAACCAGGCAGGTATTGATACATGAACCAGACAGGTACTGGTATGCGTGGGGAAGTGAAAACTCTTATAATAAACAGCTCAGCAAAGAGAAAAGACAGCCATGAAGACAGGACTCAGCTAATAGATTTTTATTTTTCACCTGTACAGAATGCTATTACTATTATCATAAGGCATCAAATGCACTATCGAAAAGCTCACAATGAACCGTTACATTTTGTCCTTTAATAGGTCAAAAAGGAGTTTTACAAGATTAAATCAGTTACTTTCCCAGTTGGTAAACATTATGTTCATTATGGACAGATTTTTAAAAGAATTACAAAGATTAAAAAACTGTAAACATATTAAAAACAGCAACAACCCAGCATAGCTTCCTAGGAGAGAGTTTTAAATTTTTCTGCTGCACGTCTGGCTTTGGAGGATGGCAGTGAGAAAGTAAGGCTGGCTGTCCCTGCAGACACAGGCTGGATACCAACAGTCATAATGGGTCTACGGCGTGTGTTGCGATGGGCCTGTTTTTGGGGGATAGTCCACAGTAGGCTTTAGGCAGTTTCCAAACAGCCAGCCTTGGTCACAAATTTCTAGTCGAGGAAAATTAACCACGACCACCACAGTCAGCACGGAGCTATCGTAACTGGCAGGGCTGAGCTGCAATTTCTGCGTGCGGTTCCTTGGGGTCGATACTTGCCCCCGGGCCAGGCTGTGGCACCGAGGAGGAGTACAGAGCTCCTGCTGCCCGAGTGGGGCCACCTGCACCCTGGGGCTGGCCGAGTTGGAGAAACATAGAGGATGATAAGGTAGAGCCTGGGCTTCACAGTCTGGCACCCAGTTGGCCAGTTGACACATGAGGTAGAAAACGGGAAAGTGTCGTGTTTTGCTATTTGAGCCAGTTCCTAATACGCTGTTCCTCTCCCAGCACAAATCACAACATGTCTCCAAATTACTGCAGGAGGTACCTAAAACCCACCCGCTACGCCCACAAACTGACATCCCCACAGAACAAAGCTTTCTAAGGTTAGCACAGGCAATGAAAAAAGAATTTTCCTCACACTTGCACCCTTAAAGCATTTAAATTTTGAGCGGAGGAAATCAAATTGCTAGAGTGCATAAGAGGGCAATTAATTTCCCTTGGCCTCAGCCTTTGGTACTGTCTCCTGTGACTGAAAAGAGCCAAACGCTCATCCACCGGGCGGTGGACTAATACATTCATTTTCCACAATCAACCATCAGACAACAAGTGTTTTGGTTTCCATCACACTGTACGTCATTAAAACCTGAGAGTTCAGAGGTTTTATACCACATCACCAACCCAGACAGTCTCATAATTTGTAAAGGTAAATTGTTTGGTGATCAGAGAAACGTCCTGAGGGTTTTGGTTTGCTCAGCTCCTGCGTTCTTTCCTCCGACAGCCGTCCTTCACCTCTTCTGGAGCACACATGAACACCAAACTAAAGAAACTGTCTTACTTCTCTTACTTAAAAATGTTTATTCCTCACACTTCTGCACTGCATACTTAGACTAATATGTTGACTTAGGTTTCCTTAAAATGTTCAGGGAACATTTGAGGGTTCATTTAAATGTTGCAGGGCCATAATCTGTGACAGGCATTTTACAAAGTGTCAGAAAACTTCTCACTTAATAATAATATACTGACAGTCTGGGGAACGCTCTCTTTTCTAGTGCTAACAATCAGCATTAAGGCATGCCACGGTTCTTACAAGAAATCGGTGATCTTTACAGCTTTAGCTGTCACCTCGCTGCAATTACAGAACGTACTCCAATTTTCTCCATATGTATCATTAAAAAATAAAAATAACGGCTCTCCAAACAGCCAGCCTCCGGCTCGGAGCTTCTGCTGCGCAAGTGAAAAGCCGGAGAGCCCAGCGGTTCCCGCCGGGGGCCCAGACTTAACGCGCTTCCGTCGCGCGGGCGCTGACGCCCCGCCAGCGCTCACACGTGCTGGTGGCCCCAGCCCCGGCCCAGCGGGGCGGCCGCTCGCTCGTGACCGTCCCCAGGGGACGGTGTGGCCCCCC